TTAGATAGTTTCTGGTAGTCTGAGTCTCATTCTTGTAAAAATTTTTGTAAATTGGCTCTGGCCAGAGAAACCCATAGAGGATTCTCAATACAAAATATTAATAAAGATAAAGGCAAAACCTCACCTTAAAAAAAAAAAAAAAAAAAAACAAATATTCGTTACCCACCTGATGATTTTTTACAACTTATTTTATACCGCACCTAATATATCATTCATCATTTTTTATGCATTGCTATTTGATGCTTTATTAAAATAATTTGCATTACAAATATTTGTTATCCACCTAATTATTTTTATATCAGTTACGAAGTTTTTTTTTTGGCCATTTAGTCAAATGTTATTAACACATCAGATGACAGCCGATGCATCTCAGATTATCCGAGGCACTTCATCTAACGATCGACACCTGAGATGCGTCAGCTGTCAACTGACGCAAGCATCGATCTCAGGCACAACATATATCTTCTAAGCAAAAGGTAATAATTTTAATATGACATTTATTTAAATAAAGATATTATAGTAATATTAATATAATTTTTATACTGTTTAATTTTATTTGAGCATAAAAACGCATAAGTTTGGACCCTAATCTGGTAATTAATAAGTTCAATATCATATCTTCCTATTAAAGTAATTTTTTAATATATACTGTTTAATTTTATTTGAGTACATTGTTCAAATATATATCTTCCAAGCGAAAGGTAAATTATTTCAATGTAATCAATAATTTAATTAACGATATTATAGTGATATTAATATAATTGTTTCAAATGTTCAATTTTTATTTGAGCATAAAAACGTATAAGTTTGGACCCTAATCTGGTAATTAATAAGTTCGATATCATATCTTCCTATTAAAGTAATTTTTAATATATACTGTTTAATTTTATTTGAGTACATTGTTCGTATATATCTCTTCCAAGCGAAAGGTAAATTATTTCAATATAATCAATAATTTAATTAACAGGTTATACATGTTGCTGATCATTATATAAAATTCTTTAAAATTTATAATGTTAGGGTTAGCATTTTATATAAAGTTAAAAGCTTGGTAGTTATATAGTGAAATTGTATAAGAAAACTTTTTGTTAGTACACTTAAGTTGGTTTACTATGCAGATTTTTGAGAAAAATTTAATTTTTGGCAAAAGAAATGTTTGTTTACATTACAACTAATTCTCAAATATGATTGGGAGATCAAGCATAATCATGCATAAATAAGCATAGATATCACAAATGCAAAAATTTACATGTGTAACTAATATGATATATGATAAATGGTAAATCACAAACTGTTCTATTTTTAGGGATCTGCATATAACTTGTGACTATAGTCTAGCCATAATAATGGACTGTCTACAGACATGTACCAATTCACGTGATTGTGCACATACCTATTATAAATGTAAAACCTATCATGTTCAAATATACTAATCCTAAAGTTCGGTATATACAATTGGTATATATTTGTAGATGGTTTCATAATAAAAGAATCACTAAAGTCTTGTATCCACATGATTTTTGAAGTTTTAATTGTGATTAGGGTTAGGGTTAGTTTAGTGTTAGGGTAAGGGCAGGTTTATAGGTATCATAGAATGACATTCATCTGATTGGCTGATCTACCCGTAATTTCCCGTGATAATTAACCAATCAAATTACATAATTTATAGGAGAATCAAATCGAATGAAGTCATAATGTAGACAAAATTTATATTAGCGAAACTTACATATTCTTTATTAATTATCTGAATTCGATTATATATTTGAGTAGAAACCATATTTTAAATATTACTGTCTTTGCTAGAGGCGCTACTATCTTCGAAATATATTACATTTTTAATTACTTAATAAATTCTCTAATTACTTGTATTCATCAAAGGAAAACTTAAAATTTTCATTTTTTATTAATAAAATTTTTAATCCTCTTTTTATTTATTACAACCGTTGCACCACCTCTTTGTTCTATATTATTAATCGATACTACACGTTTCTATCTATACTAAAGCCATATTATACTGTTATATCTACGTAATAAATTTTACACAATATTAAAGTAATGTGAGTATTAGGATTATTAAAAGAAATACCCTAAACTTAAATACAATAGGTGAATAGCTTGTTTGAGTTTTTTTTTCAAATTTAAAGTTACCTTGAACACCTTGATCGTTCTTTTTATTTGACTACTTTTTCACATTTAGTATTTCTATGTAGCTAATACAGATAGTAATAGCCATAAATAACGAAACATTCGCTTCTAAGTGAAGTTCATGGGGATACTGATTATTTTTGATTATTTTTGCATAGTAAATATAGGCGTTTTATCGAAGCGAAAAATGGCTTTTGCGGTGATTTTTTATTAGTGAAACGTTACGTTTTCAAAAAGTACTTTAAAGTGTATAAATAAGTTACCCGGGCAATTGATTTACATCAGCCAGTCAGACGAATGTCGGCCGATGAATATAGGTAAAATTCCCTTCCCGACATTTTTTATTAATGTACCAAGACAGGGGGTCCGCTAAAGCCTTGTACCCACATGGCTTTTTCTATGTAGATCACCAATCAAAATCATGAAATTTTGTTTACACGGATCAGCCCGAAGAAATCAAAAAATCAAAAAAACGAAAAATATGAAAAACGGCAATTTAAACCCGTCTTGGGGTCGTCTAAAGCCGTGTGCAATCACGTGATACAGAGCCAATAAAATTGTTTGTTTTGATTGACACGGATCAGCCCGACTAAGAAAAAAAAGCGAAAAAAAGTGAAAAACGTTACAAATACAAGAAACGAGTGTCTAAACCTACCTTGGGGCATTAATAAAAAATGTCGGGGAGGCAATTTTACTATAACGCCTGTCCTCACCTTAACTCTATCTAACCCTTACCCTAACTCTAATTAAGAAGTCAAAAACATATGACCGCACACGGCTTTAGACGTACCCCATAATAAGTAATGCCCTAAATAGTGTTCCGCATGATTCGGACCGGGCGGGTATTTTTAAAGATCCGGACCAGTGTTGGAAATCATATGTTCACAGTGTTCACAAGAGCATAAATTTTTTAAAAAAATCAATTTTTTTTTTTATTTATGTTCACATTTGTGAACATAAATAATTTTTATTTAATTAATAAAATTTTATTTATGAACATTATCTTTTTTTAATGTGAACATGATAAAAAATAAAGTATGTTCACGAAAATCATCATACTGTCTTATGAATTTCCAACACTGATCCGGACCCGGTCCGAACATTGATTCGGATCTAAAGTTAGGGTCCGAACTCGTATCACTTAGATCCGGGTCCGGACCGGATCCGTGAAATTTCAAAATTTATAGATGCTATAGTTGACGAAGCCCTAGTGTCCACGCTAAAAAAAAAAACGATTACAGCTGTTTTCATAAATTCTGGGACACTTGATACAATTTAGCCGAATGATTTTTCGTTAACCAGTTGCAAAGCCACGGGAAGGTTGTAAAAATTTTAAAATTTTTATAAATAAATTAATACTGTATAAAGTATATTTAAATATATTTAAAAACTAATAAATAAATAAATTATATATTTACGAATTAAATCAGGAAATATGGGATCTTTGCTAGGAAAATGACCCTTTGAGGCAATATTGATTTTGTGAATAGAAATTAAATATGCCGGCCATCTAGTCATCGAATTCGAATGATCTTTGATCTTTTTTTATTTTGTAGAGCTCATTTAGCTCCATAAAATAAATTTTTATTCACAAAATCAACATAGACTCGGAGGGTCATTTTCCTAGCAAAGATCCCACATATTATAATAAATTATTAAATTCCTATAAAAAAAAGAGAAATTCTGAAATCAGCCAATCAGCAATCAGTATTATTTTAATAGGATCGGGCGGGTATTACCCGGGCAGATCTTCGTGTGGGTCCGAACCCGTATAGATTCTGATAAATCAAGGGTCCGAACTCGGTCCGTCAACGGACCGGACCGGACCCGGACCCGGATCTTTTGCGGAACACTAGCCCTAAATCACAAAATTAGCCCACTGATTGGTTATTTCCTTTTTAGGAGTTGCATTACCGGCACAAAATTGTGCTACTTAAATAAAACTCTGACCATAGTAAGTCGAATTAAAATTTTTATAATCGTCCAAAAAACAAGATTGTTTAAATATAATTACGTTAATAATAAAAACGAATACACATGAGTAATTACTTTTACAAATGTAATTCTAGATCATAGAGTATAATGATGCATATTAACGTTTTAATATTTGTGAAATTAGCACCAGAATTTTCTGAACAATTGGAAGCATATTTGAAAAATTGTATAAAAAGCTATGATTACTCGCAATTTAGTGATGTCGAAAAGATTGGCGTAGGAGGTTATGCAGTCGTTTATTCAGCAACTTTTAATGGACAGACTTATGCATTAAAAAGTCTAAATAATAATTTGAAATTCGGAGATAAAGAATTCAAACAATTTAAACGTGAGGTAATGCGCTTAATTTATTATTATTTAATATTAGAATCTGAACTCTCACTATCCTACATTTACACATAGATTAAGCGTATTTATGAGATTGATACTCACCAAAATATCATTAAATTCTATGGAATCACTAAAGGCAAGAGTTCATATGTTAACGATGTACTATACAAGCTGCTCTTTTTACAATAATTTGAAAATTTATCAAAATTCGGTGATATTGATTTGTGTAATTTTGGTAAAATTCAAATAATCACGCTAAAATGTATGAATGATACCAAAATATTCGTACGTTTTGTAAAAAGGTTATTTAATATAGTATTCTATACTGTATATGCATATCTGGATATTTGCTAGGAAGACTATTATGTATGATGAACAAAATTATACGTGAATAGGCATTCAGGGATTGCATCTTATTTAATTACAGTGGAATATGATCAAAATTTTCAAGATCAAGTTACTATACAGTCCAATCCGAATCTTTAATCCCAACCTTAACATTTTCCTAGCAAAAATCCCATATTTCCTGATTTAATTCGTAAATATATAATTTATTTATTTATTAG